GACCTAGGAATTAAACCAGAGACACTGTGCCTATTAGAAGAAAAAGTAGGCCCCAACTTCCTTGATAAGACTCCTATAGCACAAGAATTAAAATAAAAAATCATTAAATGGGATGAATTCAAACTAAAAAGCTTCTTCTCAGCAAAAGAAACAATCAGTGAGGTAAAAAGAGAGCCTACATCTTGGGAGCAAATTTTTACCCCTCACACATCAGACAGAGCACGGACTCTAAGGTATATAAAGAACTCAAAAAACTAAACACCCAAAAAACAAATAGCTCAATCAATAAATGGGTCAAGGAACTGAACACACACCTCTCAGAAGATGATACACAATCAATAGATACATGAAAAAATGTTCAACATCTCTAGCAGTTAGAGAAATGCAAATCAAAACTACTCTAAGATTTCATCTCACTCTAGTCAGAATGGCAGCTATTAAGAGCCCAAACAACAATAAGTGTTTGCAAGGATGTGGGGGAAAAGGTATACTCATACAATGCTGGTGTATGACTGCAAATTGGTGCAGCCAATATGGAAAACAGTATGGAGATTCCTTGGAAAGCTGGGAATGGAACCACCATTTGACCAAGATGATGTATTTTTTACCTGCACATCTTCATTTGTGTACTCCTAATCTCAGTATCTGCCATCCTGTTACTCAATATTATCTGGACAGCACAGAGTTTGTGCAAATCTGGAAGTGTCATGAAGAACAGTGACTGCTGCCTAGATTCATTCATATCTTCTTGTTGACTATGTGTCTCAGCAATCAGACCCTTAAAGAGAACAGTAATAAAAAGGTAGTAAGCTATATTTACTTCACCAACAGGGTTTCAATACCAACTCATCATGTAGCTGATGTCATGTTAGAAAAAGATAACAAAATTAGCAAACTTAATCAGTTATATATTACCAACATTTTACTTTTTAGGTTTTCTAGTGATTTTTCTAAAATTTTTTGCTGCATGTTAAGATATAATTCCCACAACATAAATTCACCTACTTAAAGTGCCCCAATTCAAAAAATAAAAAAATTTTAAATAAATAAAAAAAAATAAAAAAAAATAAAGTGCCCCAATTCCTTTTTGTTTACTATCTTCAGAGTTGTCCAACTACCAATGCAATACATTTTGAACATTTTCATCACATCTCAAGCTAACCCAGAGTTTTTTAAACCTGTTAGTTTCGTACCACAAACTCAGTAACTTAAGTAGAAATACTACAAAACACCAGCTTATTTAGGTTCTTGCAATGCTTCTACCATATTATTTAATAAATTCCTTCTACAATCCAGGCTAATCTTAACTTTCATTTCAAATTTGTTTGGTTTTCAGGAAACAAAATCCTTTATCTGTAAAGCAATTCGAGGCTGAGGAGTCTGAGGAATATATTATTCTTCACTTTGTGATGAAAGGAAAGGTCTGAAATCTCTGTTGGGGCCGCTGTCCTAATTCACACCTTGGCAGTGCAGGCCGAGTGCGGAGAGAGGGAGTGTGAGTGCTGTCCACCCTGACTTTCCCAGGTTGCAGAAGGCAGCTTGGACCCCAGCACTTCCCACTTAGCATCACAGGACTGTCCCTGTTTAAGGACAGTAAACACACTGGCCCAGAAACCAAAGTGTGGCTGCTTTGTCCCATCAGATAAGTCCCCTAGGTGGTCCTGGGGACTCCAGCTCCCCTGAGGCAGGGGAACTGGGGAGGCCCCAAGAGCTTCTTCCAGCCTGATTCGTTTTAAGGGACCCCGCAATTCCAAGGAAAGCCCCCTGCACCCGGGCTTAGGGAGGGAGCCTGTCCTGTCCCCCTGCTGCAGGGCAGTGAAGCTGGTGGGCTGTCCCTGAGGGCCAACCAGCCCAGGCCCCATGCAGCAGGGCCCAGGAGCTGCCTCGCCCTGCCCTGCCTCCCTGGAAACAGGACAGCACACCTAGTGTCTTCCTCCTCAGCACCCTACTGGTCACCCTCAGGGGCCGCTCCTGTCAGGTGTGTTCTCCCAGCAGGCCCCGCGCTCTCACCAGGTTCCCCCCTCCTCTCCAGCTCCCAGCAGGTCCTGTGCTCCTATCAGGTGTGTTCTCCCAGCAGGCCCCGAGCTCTCACCAGGTTCCCCCCTCCTCTCCAGCTCCCAGCAGGTCCTGTGCTCCTATCAGGTGTGTTCTCCCAGCAGGCCCTGCTTTCCCACCAGGCCCCGATTCCTCCCCTGTCTCAGGCTCCCAGAAGGCCCTGCACTCCCAGCAGGCACTGCTCCCAGCTGACCTGCTTTCCTATCAGGCATTATGCTCCCAGCAGGCCCTGCTTCCCCCCCGCCCCAGGCCCTGTGCTCTCACCAGATTCCCCGCAACCCCTACAGCTCCCAGTGGCCCTTGCGCTCCTAGCAGGCCTCGTGCTCCCAGCAAGCCCCTGGCTCTCAGCAGATTCCCCCACCCGCCCACAGCTCCCAGCAGGCCCTGCACTCCCAGCAGGCATCGCTGTCAGCTGACTCCCCCCAGCTCCCAGCTGACCAGCTTTCCTGTCAGGCCTTGTGCTCCCAGCAGCCCCCCTCCCCAGCTCTCACCAGCCCACCCCTCTGTCACCCATTCCCTTGCCGTGCAATACGCGGGCAGAAATTTAGGAAGACTGGGGTTTGGAGGAACAATAAGGAGGATAAATGAAGGAAGTCTTAGTATGGAAGGTGGTAAGGGTGCCTGGGAGACAAGCCTGAAGTGCTGTTAGAGGCCACTGTGTGTATTTAGTAAAGTGGTCAGGAAGGCCTCGGAGACGTGATGTTGGAGTTCAAGACATGAAGAGAGTGGGCGACCTTGTGGACGTCCAAGGGGACCATTTTGCCACACACATATCCCATTGATCCTTGAGAAATAACAAGGTCACATGAAACCTATAAAGGAAGTGATTGTGACTATAGGGGATAGCACTAACGGGAGCCTGGTGGTGATGGGACAGTTCTGTAGCTTGATTGTGGTAGTGATACACGCCTACATAAATCCTAAAGCTGGGTGGAACAATGCATGTACACTGTACCAGTGTCAATTTTCTGACTTTGATGTTGAACTATAGTTGCATCAACATGCCATCATTGTGGGGAAACTGGGAGAAGGGACACAGGACCTCTCTGCTATATTTGCAACTTCCTGTAAACCTAAAGTTGTGCTAAAAATCAAAGGTTAAAAAAAGTACAGAACTTCCTTGGAAATTATTCTTACATAGTTTTTGTTGGTTAATGTGAAGTAAAACATTCAAATATATGAACTACAACTGATTAGTGTGGTAGTACGAATAATTTACTTTCTTTTAGCCACATATAGTACTTAGAAATATTTCCTGAACAACAGAATGTTACACTTGGAAATATTGGCTTTTGGGGAAAAAAACGTAAATATTTTGAAATGCTTTGAGCACTGTTTTCTTTTCAGTGGGCACATATTCCTATGGACAGGTATGTTAGGGGGAAAACTAATAATCACCAAGCACCTAATATGTGCAGCGACCTCTGAGACCCTGGGAGGATGGCCCACATGTGCAACCTCTTGTGTTGCTCTCTTTTGCATCTCTAAAGAAAAGGGAACAGTAAAACACCATGTCTTTGCACACCCCCTTTCTGTTCTCAAAAGCCTAGTCAAGTTAAAGGAACAATGAGAGCAATCCTATCTTGCAGGACTCTAAGCTTTCTCTTATGCACACTGGGAACAAGGCAAAGTCACCTGTAGGAATGCTACTTTCTTGCAAGTACACCAGGATAGGTGCTCCTTGGAATGTAGTTCATTCAAACAAGCTAATATTGTTGTCACTGCTTCTGCAGACTAACATATAAAACTCCTCTCAAAGTGGGAACTGATGCCAGACTGAGGAAACTGCAGAAAGGATTGTCTTGCTGAACAATTTGTGGTTATGTTTGGGAAAAAGGCACTACCTAGGAAAGTGCCCTGAGGGATGAAGATGCTACCTGTTCATCCTGTAGCCACAGCACTCTTCTTGAAGCAGTCACTAATCTCTCCTAAGCTCTGTCTGTCTGTCTCCCATACTGTCTTCGGGCATTGTCTTTGGCCTTTTCACAGCCTACCCCACTACCCTGGCACAACTGGACTGTGGACATAACAACTGCTATTGCTGAAAAGGTCTAAACTACCAGAAGACTTTAATATCCTGGAATTTTCTATTTTTGTTTTTTTCTCTCGCAAACATTTGTAGTCCTTCATGTGTGATATTTTACCTTCCATCAAGAGTGGCAGTGGAGGGCCAAGCTGGGGAAATATTATAGACTCTGTTGGAAGTGCTGTTCATCATTTAGGTCTTATCTGGACAGCACAGTTGAGATAAGACAGTTAAGAGACTAATTCAAGTCCTTGCCAAGCCACTGATGAACAGCAGAGAAACTTTCCCCCCCCTGAATTGCTATCCTGTGAGAATGAGGTAACCCAAACCTCATCCTCCAACCCGGCCCACTTCCCCGTGGAGGTTAGGGAAGTAAAACTATGGTGAAGTTTATTTAGGAAAACACATAATTAAGGGAAGCTGTGCAACTTCTTTTTTCTTTGAAGACGTCCAAAGCTCCCCTTCACATCTGTGCTTGTTAACAAGTTTCCCCCAGACGTCCACTTTGTGGACAGAAGCACTGCTATTTTGGGTACCAACAAACGGGAGGCCCCAGGGCTGACTCGGTGCAGTCTGCGCGGCCCAACACTACCTTCTCTCTCCTCTCGGGGCTGGGAACGCTGCGCCTGGCCCTCCCGGCCCCACCGCGCGGAGCTCGACGCGCCCAGGAGCTCTTCCCGCTGCCTCTGCGCAGATTCAGCGAAGCCCCGCCCTCCTCGCGCGCTCCAGCAGCGGGTGATTGCGAAAGGCGCCTCCCGTAGCCAATCAACACTCGCGCGACGGGCGGGCGCACGCTCGGGGTGGTGGAGGGCGTCGGCAGAGGGCGAGGCCTCTTGAGTGACAAGCAAGCCGGCCAGTCCTCGGAGGCCGTGCGCCGCCCGCCTCCTCCGCTGCGCCTCCGCCCCGTCCCGGGCACCCGTCCCGGGAGCTCCGGGAATGTCCCGAGCGGAGCTGCCTGAGACGCTGTGTGTGTTCCACCCGGGACGGCTGTGTGAGCAGGGCCTGGAGGCTCGACTCGTACGAGATGGCCGAGCAGTCGGACAAGGCTGTGAAGTACTACACCCTGGAAGAGATCCAGCAGCACAACAACAGCAAAAGCACCTGGGTGATCCTGCACCACAAGGTGTACGACTTGACTAAATTTCTGGAAGAGGTCAGTGGGAAGGCGAGAACCCCGTCCGGGCACGGGGACCGAGTCCGGGGTTTGGGGTTCCCTGGCGTGACCTGTTATTCGCAGCGACGCGGCCCAGTCTGCCCCCGAGTGTGAACGCGGGGAGCGCTCCCCACACTCATTGCACACTTGCGTCTGCTCTCCCGAGTGGACTCCCCGTCTGCCTCTGAGTGCGCACGTTCGGTGCGCACACCTGGAAGCGCTGTCCGCGTCTGCACCCAGAGTGCGCTTGTGTGTGTGCGCACCTGGGAGCGCTCCCCGTGACTGCACACTTGTACCTGCGCCTGAGTGTACTCCGCTGGGTTTGCGCCCCGAGTGAGTGCACACCTGGGAGCGATTCCCGCGGCAGCACACCTGCGTCCCTGTTTGCACATCTGTGCGCGCACCTGGGAGAACCCCGAGGAGCAGCCACCCGAGCCTTTTCAGCAGCCCGCCGTGTGGGCTGGAGCACTTGTTGGGCGGGGACTGGCTCCGGAGACCCTGCGTAGTGGCCTGGACCCCTACTTCCTAGGAGAGGGCGCAGCTACGCAAGAATTTTTAAAGATCCCTTTTTAATTTCAAGTGTTTTTAATAGAATGATCCCCATCTAGGAAAGGTCCACCAACCAGTGTTATTCCCTGAGTGAGCTTCAGGTACCAGCCGGTTGGAGACCACCTACCCCGAGAGCTGTGGGATCATCAGAAGGGGCCCTGGGGTCAGAGGCAGGGGTGCGGTCTGTCCTTCTTCTCTCCTACACCCGCAGTTCCACTTTACTCTCCACCTCTACACCCACCGTCTTCACCTGGGAGGGGCTTAGTATGGTTCACCTCACCCCAAGTTCTTACTTGTCAGTGAGGTTCAAGGTGTGACTCCTGAAGCGAGAGATGGACTCTGGCGTTTGGTTTGAGCGAATGCCAAGGAGATAGGCAGAGTTGTAAAGTCTGCCAGGGGGACTTGATCCTTGAGCAACGTGGGGAATTGTAAAGTCACTTTGCTTAACTTAAAGGAAGACATCTCTTTGATTGGATTCACTGCGTTATAGTATAGTTTTTGCTGTACAATCTAAGGGGCGTTTCTGGTAATTGTCTTTACTACCTCTGTTTTTGTCTCTGGATGGCAGGTTGAATCAGAACACTTCCCCATCCCCTCCCAACACAATAAATGAGAATGTTTAGAGATAGGGATTATTCAGGTTTTTTTTTTTTTTCTTTTTTGGTGTGGGGGGGCTGATTTTAGCTGGATTACAGTTTGCACCAAGGGACTTTTGTTTTGCAGATAATATTTAAAAAATTTAAAACAACAAAAAGTTTTCTTTTAAGAACGGTTGAAGTTGATATTTCTTGGTAAGTTATTTCATTCTTCAATTGTTATTTGGTAGAGTATTTGAAGATAAAATAGTGTTCTGATTTAGTTAGAAGTGGTTTAGAGTGTGGAATCCAATCTGCGTGTCTGTCCTCCCCTCTGAGGAGCTACAGAGTGTGTTTGCCCTTACAGTTTCTGAACTAACAGTCCTGCCTGAGGACATCAGGTCATGTGACTCAGTATCCACGTGCATCTCTGTTCTTCATTTCTTTCATGGGATGTGGAATTCTGGGATTTTAAGATACAGTGAGTGTTTTGACTCTCTTGAAACCATTCTAACTTACCTTATACCTTTCCTCAAACAGGATCTTTTGATCTTGGATCAGGATCTGTTGACCTCCTGATTCTGCCTGTTGTGGATGCTTTACCATTTCCTGTTTTTGTTTTTCCTTTCTGTGACACTTTCTTACTTCATGCAGTGTCCTTTTACTGGCTTTCTACCCATCAGCATGGCCATGGCCTCCAGGCTTCTCTCTGGGAATACTGGGCCTCGAGGCTTCTCCAGGTTTGCTTCCTACACCTGATCATGTCTTAAACACAGACATGCGTCTTCTTTTTCACTCTGCTGGAGAGTTCCCTTCTCCCTAGACCCCTCCTCCAATTTCCATTATTTTTAGCTGTTTAATCTCAGACCTAACTTGAAAACAGAGGAAAGAGCCCATAATGTCTGGCTTTCTTCCCCTTTTCCCTGACCTTTTCTGATTTTTCCACACTTAAGCTCCAGAAATTTCATGAAGCCTGTTAACTAAAGAATAATCTGTCTTCCCTAATTTATCTGATATGATTGGCAGGGACTTCCTACCTCGGAAACAAACTCTCAGGCATGTCATTTGTCTCATATACTTTTTTTTTAAACTGCTGATGGAACTTCGTTTTATTTATTTATTTATTTATTTATAGTGCTGAGAATCAAAACCAGTGCCTCAGACTTGCTAGGCAAGTGCTCTACCACTAAGCCACAGCCACAGCCCTAGCCCTCATATACTCTTAATTCACCTGTCCCTATGAACAAGCTTTCTCCTGGCTGTTTCCATTTCTGTCAGGGTTAAATTCATGTCCCACATCCTGTTGAGAAAATTTGGGGTGTAATGTCAGAAGTCTCCTGCTGCTTACCTTCTCTGTGCCTCAGATTCCTCATTTGTGAAATTAAGAGATGATTGCATGCCTACTCCATGTGGTTATGATGAGAATTAAACAAAACCATGCTTAGTAAACACATTCCTCATTGGCAGGTGCTTGTATTCATTTATTACTCCTGCCTCAGTGGGGGTTAATGTCGGGCCATGATTTTATTTCTGCAGCATCATATATGGCTTCGTGTTTAACATACATCTTGTAGGTAACAGTGTAAATCTGGCAGATGATGTGGAAACAGGAGAATATTATAAAAATTATCTCTCTGGCCAGGAACACATGTTGATGTTTAATCATTGGGCAATGTGAACTCTGTCCTGGAATAAAGCTGTTCTGTTGTTTAGGGGGAGGGACAGAAAGCTAAGAGGGAGGGTGAGCTGATTGGTTATGGCAGTTTAAATAGTGTTTGGTTACTGTCTGATACCTGCTGACCAGATTAGGAGCCTTATTGCCTACCTATTTTGAACTAAAAGATTTTTTTTTTCAGCCCTGACATCTAGTTTATATTTATAAGATCAAGTCTTGGCTTATCTGATTATATTATTAGCTAGGTTAATGATTCTAGAATTTTGAGGAACAGTTTCATGAAATGAAAACTTAAATATTAGAGCCACGAGGGGGAAAAAAAAAGGTTTGTATATCCTATTCTGTAATTGGGGCAGCAGCATTTATTCAGTTTTCCAAGAGCTGTGGAAGGGAGAAAAGAAAGCTTCATGTAATAACAGTTATACTAGGTACTGGTTTTCAAGTAAAGGGGTATTTAACTTGTGAAGGAAATATCTCCCTGAAAATGTTTATAAAGCAAGTTTTCTCCCCTCCCTTTATTTTAAAAATGGAAACTTGTTTCTATGGAACATTGTGTAGCAATCCTGGGATTCTGAGTCTTGTAGCTGACTTGAAAGTTCTTTTGATGGCAAAAGCTGTTGACTCCTGTCTGAGTTTAGAGTTTTCAACAGGTGTTATTGTAGGAACTTCACATTTTGTTATTTTCTGTGGAAGGTCTCTGTCTATCTTGCATAGACCAAGGGTTCTGAGTGTCCCTGAGATCCAGGACAAGAATGTGATATTTAAGATTCATATCTAATTCTGAAAATCACAAGGACACATATCTTCCCTTGATAGGGCTATCATATTTAGGGCTAAAATACTAAATGTTTTGCTTTTTACAAAGAAGTTTGATAGGATTCTGATTCTCATGTTATAAAAGCTGTCATTGCTACATGTGCCTTTGAGTATAAAATGGAATATTATTAATTATTATTTAAGATATGTAGTTTGGCTCAATATGAAGTCCACAGGAGGTAAATATTCAGGGATTGTTGGTAACAATGGCTTAGACATATTGGGTAAACAGGTGACAAAATCACATCTCAATGGCCACCTTGAGAATGTGAACCTGTGAGTCTGTTCTATGTTATCTGTGTTTTATTTTATTTTTAAAACTTTTTGTGAACCATTGCTACATTTGAGGAGAGGTTCCAAGAGGCTACTTTGCTACTTTGTTTTGAAACAGAAAAAAACAAACAAAACAACAACAACAAAAACCACTTGAGACTGGTTTGCTTTTTGGTTATCTTTAAAGTGAATGAAAATTGTAAATAAGGAAGTGTAAACAGGTTATTTTAGCCAGTTTGGATAAATCAGGGAATACCCTACTTTCTACTTTCTGTGGGTATCTATTATCCTGCAAGTCCCTCCAAACCATGGAAGACAACTGCTAAGTGCCTTTTTAGTTAAGTGGGGTCTGAGCGACCGTGGTGGCACTCAGTGTTCATGAGAAGGTATTGAACTGGGGTTAGGAAAACTGCCCTGGTCTCAGGGTTCTCGAAGAGAACTTGAGCAAGGTAGGTAGTTCCCCAAATTACTTTCCTTGGGAATGTGAACATGAAGCAGGGACTATTCTGTCACCCATGCCTACCTCAAGTCTGGGAACACTGGGAGAAGTGGTATGTGTGAAAATACTTGAAAAAGTATGTAAAGAGAGGCATTCAAATGACTCTATTTTGTTTAAACAAAACTTTTAAGTTTTAAAGCTGGATCTGTAGCTCAGGGGTAGAGCACTTACCTCAATTCTAACATGGGAACCAAGAGAATGAGTTAAAGATTGGGTGGGGCAAACTCAGTTTTTGCTGGCTACATAGAATCCTGCCTGTGCAGCCTATTGTCATATGGCTTCAGAGGTGTCAGAGAGCTGTCATGCAGGAAAGCCTAGGATTGATCACTAGCACTTCTCAGGAATTATAGTGTTCACCAGTAAAAGAAATAATTCAAAATACAGATACCACCTGAAACATGATTTCCCCAAAATATGTGCTATGCATAATGGGAAATCATCCCTTTTCTGGCTTTTAAATGTACAACTTTATGCTTTTGGAAAAAGGAATACATGCTCCTTGTAAGCAACTGGATGATGTGGAAAAGTACAGAGAAGAAAATCAAAGCTGCTCAGAATTCCACTTCCCAGAAGCAGCTGCCTTGAACAGTTTGGTGGGCTCTTTCCAGACAGT